ACACACATCCAGTGTGGGACCAATTGCACAGATGGTGGACGGTAGGAAGACTGGTGTCGGAGAGGGAGAGTGTGGTCCCAGAAGGAGGGCACAGTCTGACATTCCAGAGTTGGCCTCACCCTTCCAGGCCTCCTAAAAATTGGGGTGTGGACACCAGGTACAGTTACCATATACCAAGCTGGGGGCTAGAGGTTGCTGGTGATGACCTGGGTATGCTGATCCCGGAGCATCGTTTCTAGCAAGAATCAGAAAGCTGCACGTGAGCCCAGCTGTTGGGGGATGTGGATGCTGGTGACTGCAGGGGTGCAGGGAGGGCCGTGCGCTCTGCAGGGATGCGGCTGCTGTGTCTCCTTCGGAAGAGCCATCCGTCTTACTTTCATCCCTGCTGTGCACATAAGGTCAGGCTCCGTGACCCAGAGCCGGGAAGTTGCCAGGAGTTCCCCGGACACAGCACAGCTGGGACCAGAGGCTTTTCTCATCTCCCAGTTCAGTGATCTGTTTGTAAACTGTGGCTTCTTATGCTTTTCTTACAACAGTTAGTCCTTGATTAACACTGTGGATTTCAGTTTTTAAAAGAACCACCATGATGATTAACGAGACTCTTTGGGGATGATGAAATGTGGTCCTGGGTCTGACCTTCCGTGGCCCCGTGCCCACCGCCCTTGACCCAGATGGCCTCCAGAGCGCGCTGGGTTTTGACGTTGCTCACTACGCTCAGATACAGAAAGGAAAAGAGAAGAAAACAGTTCTGGGAGCGATTTAATTCTAAGTGACACGACACGCGAGGGGAGTTAACTCAGTCTGACTCTGCCATCCCAAGAGTGCGCCCGCACCTGCCGTGTGGAGAAGGTGCTTCTCGGACACGTGGGTGGACGGGTCGGTTTGCAAGATCCCTGCGTCTGTCTGAGCCCAGTCGGCAGATGGCTGTGTCTCTGGTTTCACGAGCTTAGTGAGAGAGATTAGTGGGGTCCAGGTGATGGGCATGGGGGCGTGCACTCACCTGCTGGTGACGGTTACAAGCTGCAGATTTTTTTAAACACCTGAGTGCACACTGACCCTAGCCTGAGAAGGACTGGCCTCTGTTGGTCCCACTGGCTTGGCCGCCCGCCCACCAAGACAGGGATCGCAGCAGCTCCGTGCTGCTGGGAGTGTATCATCTCTTTACCCACAGGGTCCAGCTTGTGCCAGGTCACCTTGTCTCGATTGAGGACGACCCGGCTCATGTCAGTGACGCACTTGGTCGGGATCTGGAGATAGACCTTGGTCACACTCTTGCATGAGTGCCGTCCTGTCGCCCACTAGCTGCCCGCTCCCCTGGCCTGAGCACCGGGGGCCCAGGGCGGGGAGGCGAGGGAATGGGGGTTTGGCTTGCTCCCCATTGCTCAAGTGGGGTGCACACCGTACCTGCGTGCGCGCATGAGACAGGAAGAGCCTCCCCACGGTTGTATCTTGGGGGTTTATCTTCTGCACTCCCGCCTGCACAGCCCGTGTGCTGTTGACTGTGGGATTTGTCTTGCCTCCTCACTTAATGTTTTGAAGCGTGCGTTTCCCATATCCTTGAAATATTCATAAGCTACAGTCTGCTAGCTTCTAGTAATTTCACGCAGCTGTTTTGTAGTTTACTTATTCATGTCTCTCATTTTGTAACGTTTCTAGCTTCTGACTTTTCATCCTGTAAATAAAACCCTGCAGGTCTCATGGGCCCATTCCTCGTGTCCAGTTTCAGGCTGGTTTCTGGAAGCAGGCTTGCTGCCGTGGTTTTAGTAGGTTGGGCTGGGCCAGAAGGGCGGTGCTGGCTCCACGCCCAGGCATCGTCCGGGGCCCGGCGCGTCCCTGACTCGTGCCGTCCAGTGGTCGGGTCGGGTTTTTCTTCTCCTGTGCCGATTTGTCGTCCAAAGCGGGGGTGGAGGCAAGCAGCACTTCCCTCAGACAGACGCAGGGATCTTGCAAACCGACCCGTCCACCCAGCCGAGAGGCCTGCGCGCACGCCCTGGCCCAGCCTCCCACGGGCCAGGCTTTTAGTCCAGTGAAGAGGCTGCGCCCACCACGGCACGTGAATCCCAAGCCTGCCCACGAGTCCTGCACAGGTCCGTCTTGGACAGTGGACAGATTACTGTTGGCGTGCAGTCGAGAACTTGGCCGGCACAGAGAGAACGCCTGTACCATTCCCAATAGGAGCATCATTGTTTGGGGCGGGGGACGGCCACACGCGGTCATCTCAGGGTGGGTCCCACTCCCCCGGAGAGGCCGACCGTGTGACTTCAGTTTAGGGCTGGAGTCTGCCTCGAGGCTGCGATTCGGCTCACGGGCAGCCAGGCAGCCAACCAGGGCTCCAAGGTGGCCACCAAGGCCCTGGGGCAGAGTCCTGCGCACCCCGTCACATGCGGGTGCTGGAGGGGACGTGGAAGCCCTACCTTCCGTACCTCTCCTGGACTCTGCCCCGCGCGTCCCTCTCCGCACTGGCTCCGATGGCTCCTTGTACTTCTCTCTAGTGAGCCATAACCACGAGCGTAACCGCTTTCACTGAGTTCTGAGAGTACTTTCTGGCTTTGGGGGCCCGTGGCATTTGCAGCAGGTGTCCGAGGTGGGGACGGGCCCTCCACATCGCAGTCTGGCGACCTCTGAGTAATGGGCAGAGAGAAGCCGTGATGAGACATGGAGGGTCACCGTTTTCTCCAGTGCTTGCTCCTCGCACACTTCCGCTGTTGCGTGTCCGCTGGTCCTGACGGCGGCCCCAGCCTCGGGATGTGGCCCTGCAGGAGCGCGTCTTCTCGCCCCAAGCCACCGTGCAGAGGCCGGCAGAGCTGCAGCGAGAGTCCTCGCGCACAAGCAGGACAGCGCCACTGCGGAGCGTCATGGCTGGTGAGCCTACGGTGTGTTGTGTGCAAGGGTTTCGGTGCATGTGTTCCTCCTCCGTACGTGCAGGACCCAAGCCCCAGGGTAACGTGTCCGGGCTCCCTGCCCGCCCTCTGGCCCTCTCGAAGGCCCCTCCTCCCCATCAGCCCCTAGTGCCGTGTTCCTTCCAGGGCAGCAACCCAGGTGTCGGCACTGGCACTCATGGGCCGAGAAGGAGGATGCCAGTGAAATGCCTTCCCGGGCTGTTTGCTCGAGTTTCATAACTATCTGCTCTTGGGGGGCGCACCCCACGTTCGCCTGGCTGCTGCTTGTTGAGGGCTGGCGGTATTTGCTCCGCTGTGCTGTCCACAGATCCTTGCCTTCCTGCGCCAGGGCCGAGAGCAGGCCACCGGGCCACCGGCATGTGCTGTCCTTTTGGAAGGGGACGGTGGAGAAAGGAACAGCCATGCAGGCTGAGAGAGGGGGACCGTCCTGTTGTCCTTGTGCTGAGTGTTCGCCTGGAGACCTCAACTTCTCTTCAGTGGTGGGAATCCTTAGGCCCAACCCACAGAGCCAGTAAGAGTGGTTATTGCGGCCCTCGGGGGGCTCAGCTGGGTGAGCGTCTGACTCTTGGTTTCAGCTCAGGTCATGATCTCAGGGTCCTGGGATTGAGCCCCGAGTCTGCTTAAGATTCTTTTTCTCCCTCTTCCCCCCCACTGTGTCTAAAATAAAATCTAATTAAAAAAACATTATTTCCTTCTGTCCCCACCACACTCTCTCCCTAAAAACAAACCTTGCTTTCAGGGCGCCTGGGTGGCTCAGTGAGTTAAAGCCTCTGCCTTCAGCTCAGGTCATGATCTCAGGGTCCTGGAATTGAGCCCCGCATCGGGCTCTCTGCTCAGCAGGGATCCTGCTTCCTCCTCTCTCTGCCTGCTTCTCTGCCTACTTGTGATCTCTGTCAAATAAATAAATAAATCTTTAAAAAAAAAAAAAAAAACAGCCTTGCTTTCCAAGTCGGCCGTGCCAGAGCCAATAGCTTGACTGTGTTCGCAAAAGCCTTTCAGTTCCGACACACTGGAGTCTCCCTGTGGACACACGATTTTTTTTTTTTTTTAATTTGGGAAATGTTTTTCAAGAGTTCAGACTATTGGAGCAATAATGCTGTCTTCAGATATTTTGCCGGCCCCTCCTTAGCTTCTCGTGTCCTGTCACTAAGGCCACTTGAGGAAATCGGGAGCATCGTTTGTTCCTGAAGGAAGAGCGGTTGGTGGAAGGAGGGCGCCCTCGTTGCCGCCCCGTGAGGGAGCTCCCGCTGCCCGTTGCTGAGGCCGCTTGGGCGTCGTTCATGCGAAGATGGGGCCACCAGGCGGCCACTATGGTGGAAATCCCTAGTCTGTTCACCCTTACGAAGAGCAGGGGCCACACTGCAGTCTCTGAGCCGGATTGCTGTGAACGTTTCCCTTTTGGGAGAAAACACAAACGAGCTTCCTGTCGGGTCTAATTAAGCACGTCACACGCGCAGCCGGGGCCGCCGCTCGGCAGACACAAGCCCACGTCCGGGCTCTGCCCGCTCGGTCTCCCTCTGGGTGTGACCGGCCTGTGCTGCAGCGTCTCCTCAGCGAGGCCCTCCGTCTCCTCGCCTGTCGCGGGTGCCCTGGACCCCGCCCCGTGGGCCTCGTCCCCGCGCGGGCACAGCTGTGCGCGTTGAACGGCTTACCGTCTGCCCTCCCCGGCGGACTGAGGGGCCCCCCCGCCCCCGCTACCTCCCAGAGCCAGAATTGCACTTGGCCGCAGAGTCGGGGCTCTAGAATACGATGAGTGAATGGAAGGTGAGTTGACCCCAGAGGACGAGCCCTCCTTCCCGGCGGCCAGGTTGAAAGTGCTTCCGCAGCCTGGAGCCACGGGCCCGGGCCGGGCTCCTCTGTACAGACACCAGGGGCTGCCCTGGGGGCCCGTCCACGGCCCGTGTCTTGTACGTGGAGGCTGCAGGAGTGGTGTGTGCAGCCGCTGGGTCCGTCCCCTGCATCGGGGGCGCCCAGTGTGGCGAGCCTCGCCTGCCTCTCTCCGAGCTGTCGGTCCCCCGCCTCTTTCCTTCCCCCGTCTCCTCTCTCCAGCCCAGTGCAGTAGCCAGGTAGTCACTAACGGAAGCGCCCCGTGTCTCCTAGGATTCCCGGCCGGCTGAACGACCGGAGGACGCCCCTGGGAGAACTGAACTGGATCTTCACAGCCATCACGGACACCATCGCGTGGAATGTGCTCCCTCGGGGTGAGGCGGCCCAGCCGGCCAGCTTGGGGCAGGGGCGGGCTGCTGGCTCGCAGTGGGGAGGCGCCTACCCTTGCGATGAGCAGGGAGGTCTTGTCGGTGAGGAAAGCTGAGGGGCAGGAGGAGAAGGAGGAGGAGGCAAGAGCCCCCAGAGGTTTCCATGGGTCACGGCGGGTCGGGGACCATGAGCAGCAGCGGACACGAAGCCCCACGTGAGCTTTCACTCTGACATCAGGGTGTTCGTTTCTAGGTGGACTCAGGACTCACTTTTCTTCATAAAAATTGGAACAATCCAGGTTTTTTAAAACCAGATTTCTTAAAAGCTGCTGCTATAAGACTTGTATTTTTTCATTAGTGACTGGCTGGCGTTTGGTGTTTGTGCTTGAGTGTGTGTGTGTGAGACCCATGGGCAGTGTGCCCGTTAGTCCCAACCTGCTTGTAAAAAGTTCTGATGGACGTAAATTTATGTGTTTGGCTTAAGTGCTGGAATCACTGACATACCTTTTCCTGCTTTATCCGCCCTCAGATCTCTTCCAAAAGCTCTTCAGACAGGACCTGCTGGTGGCTAGTCTGTTTCGAAACTTTCTCCTGGCAGAAAGGATCATGAGGTCCTATAACTGCACCCCGGTCAGCAGCCCACGCCTGCCCCCCACTTACATGCACGCCATGTGGTAAGTGTCCCGGCCGGGCCATACCCGACGGTGTGACGTTCTCTAAGTGGCTTGGTTTCTGTCCATATCTATGGCAGGACGAGTTTCATGGAATGACATGAAACAAACAGGACTTGCCACCAGCCTGGAGACCCAGGTGGTGCTGACGAGCAGGTGAAGGCCTACGTAAAGGTCTCTGCACACCGGACGCGTGAGTCTCCTTCCGGGGCACAGGTGCCTTGGCGGGTCTTTGAAGATGGAGCGGGACCACACGTCCAGACGTAACCCGTCCCGTGGCCCGGGGCCGGAGAGGCTGGCCCGTGGGCTTGTGACCCTGTAGAGACCAGTGCAGGGAGGGGAGACTGCCGACAGGCCTCTGGAGCGTCAGACGGCTCCACCAGCCTGAGACTGTGGGGTTCGTGACCAGTTAGTGTGTACGCTTACGTCACGGGAGCACATACGTGCGTGCACTCACGCACACGTGCGCACGGGAGAGGTCTTCAGGACCGTTGGTCATAGTTTCCCCCAAATGGGGCTGTTGCTGCTTGAGCCACTAGGAACAGTAGTAACAAGGGTACCATCGTGAACGCTCTTTAACTCCCGTGTTGTACCAGAAGGCATCGGTTCCCTCTGTTTCCTTGCTTCTGTCCCACAGGCAGAGTCTGGGGCAGTGTGGAAACGGGGTGCCCGCAGAGGAGTGAGTCCACGCTGTGTCTGCCTGTGGGGAAACCCTAATGCAGACACTTAGAAACAGCAGGTCACTCGTGCTGTGTTTTCACAGCCAGGCTTATTTCCACTGGTGATTTTTTTAAAAATATGTGTACGACCGCTTTCCCCGGCACTGAAAACCCAGAGAACCAGGGACAGGTTTGTAGGCTCACTGCCCTCATCCACTGAAGGGAAATCAGGAAGGAATATTCTGGTCTGTGGGGGGAATCGGGGCGTGCCGTACTGGGCACAGCAGCGGACTGTCCACGGAGAGCCGGAACACGCCTCATCCGCACCTGCTTCCAGAGTGGCCGCGGGGAGCGCAGGCCGGGGCCGAGTCGCTGCACGGAAGGAGGTCACGTGTGCGCACAGAATGGCGAGCTGCCCTGCGGCCGGGATTGGGAGAGTGTTCGAAGTCCGTCCTGGTACTTAGCCTGAATCATTAGAGTGAAGACCGACGTTTCTGGAAGATTGGATCCTCAAACAAGCCTTCTCCATTAGGAAAAGTGATGTCTTAAATCCTGTCTCTTTCTTCTGAACCGGGTTTTAATAAAACATCTATTATTAAGAAAAGGGAAGAAGGGGAAAAAATCACGTGGGGTCAGTGCCTTGTGTGGTCTTGGGAGGAAAACTGGGTAAGCTGCAGGAAATGGGCACCACACCAGCTGCCTGGTGACGCAGCTTCCAGGCCACAGGGCCCCACTGGCCAAGCGGATTCCTCGTGGGATAGAGACGTGAGTGGGCGCAAGGCACCGACTGTTGGGGACGTGGCCTGCACCCTCTTATCCTCTTCTACCCCAGCCCAGCACAGCTCCCGGAGAGCGTGTTCCTGTTAGTGTACTTTCCTCTGGCTGCAGAAACACCTCCTGGAAGATAGGCTCAGTGGCTCGTGCTAGAGAAGACACCAGAGACCAGGACCAGAGTAGCGAGCAGACAAGACACGTGGGGCCGGAGCGACGGCAGCTGGGCAAGGAGGCAGTTGCAGACGGCGGGCCTCCACCCATCTTCCCCAACTGCTTTCCCCAGGATTAGCCTCTTACAATGTTTCTGAACTCTGGAGTTTGTGTAAGAACTGCTTAAGGTCCAGAGGCTAGACGTGACAGCAGCATCCCGTGATCCTGCCATCATTTAAGGACACCTTTTCTTGCTGGCTCCGAAGGCTGGGAATGTGGCCCTCTCTCCTGCGAAGGTAGCTCCTGTGAGTCTCGTGAAGCAAATCTGCGTGTGTATTTACGCGTCGTGCACAGAAACATGAATCACACAGCGGTCCACAGAGGCCCAGGTGAGCGTGGGGAGAGCCTCACGGTATTGAGGCAGGTGGGATGGCTAGCGGCTGTCTGTGTACACCCGGGCTATCCTCCTTTCCCGGTCTGCCCTCCCTTCGCACCTCAGGGCCCCTCTGCAGCTAGAACACACCCTGGAGACGGGTGTCACCTCCTCCGTCAGCCTCCACGGCCCGCCGTCGTGCAGAGCGCCATCTGGCCTGCCGCCCACCCCCCAACTCCCCGTCGGTGGATTCCAGCCGTGGCAGGTTGGACTCGTCCCGGAGCTGGCACGTGGCACCAGGCACTGTCAAGGAGGCTCCCGGACCAGACCTGGGATGGGAGGCCGCAGGGTTGGGTGCAGAGGAAGGTCGACCAGCAGTACGGTCTCGGCGGGCCCGTTCGTCCGAGCCTCCGCCCCACGCAGCTCTGACGGTGGAGTGACCCTTCAGAACAGCTCTTGTCACCCTGAGGGGGCCAGGCTGCTGTGCCGGCTCCAGCTATCTTACGGGCTTCCTGTCACTCCAAGGGACCTTTCCAAGAGGCAGAAGCATGAAGTGGAATTGGGTCTCCTTGAGTCCCAACTTCCTGGCTCCTGTCCAGCCTGTTTCCTTGAAGCACATTTTCTTTCTCATCCAGAAAAGTGAGGCTCTTTGCAGCTGCTTCGTGGAGCTTGTCACCAGACCCTCAGGTCCATCACAGGGAATGCAGGACGGCCCAGCCCCCAGGTGCTGGGAGTGAATTTTGTTCACGTAGAAGTCAGACTATGACGGTGCCATCCCAGTGCTCCCAGGCTGAGGACAGATGCCACTCTGCTGCCTTGTGATTGTCCCCTCGGAGGAGTCCGTCCAGCAGGAAAAGCGGGAGGGGCTGGAGACACACCTCCACTCCGGGCCCCCCCTTCACTCTCCCGCCTGTTCTGCTGTGCATTATGGTCTTTCCATAATGTAGTTTGATGAACATCTTGAAGGAAAGGTTTAAGGTAAAATTTCGGGGAGGAGAAGCATAAGCACTCCTTGGCAGCCACCGTAGACGTGAGGGTCGGCCTCCCTGTCTCCAGCAGCTCTGGCCCTGGGGTGCGGACCCTGCAGATCGACTGGGACTGGTGGTTTTGGTTTTACCTTCATGGCCAAAGGAACTTATGTGCTTTAGATTTTCTTTTTCCCTCTCTTTTTGAACCTGAACCTTAAGCGTATGTGTTGTGTGCCATTCCGGCGTTTCACATGAAAGCCGAGAAGCCATTTTGTCAGCTGTCCACCTGGTGGGACGGGACAGGTGAGGCGTCCGTAACTCCCACTGAACCCAGGCTTAGCCCAGGAAGGGTGGCTGGAAGCCACGCCCTCTGCTGCAATGCAGGGGAACACGGAAACCAGCCGACCAATTAATGAACGTTACGAGAAACGTTGGCTGTTTCCCTGACAGATGCATTCTTCTGTTAGAAGCAGAAATCCTGCGGTCTGAGGAAGGATGGGGAGTATCTGTACCTGTCCTGGAACAGCCGCATTTCCTCACCTTGAGTGGCTTGAAGCACACGTGCTTATGTGTCTGTAGGGCGGGAGACTGGTCTGCTGGGGGTCTCACCAGGCTGCAAGGACCCACAGTCCCTGCCACGTGGGGTCCCCCAGGCGCCTCAAGCCTCCTTAGCCAGCAGGGGCACGGCAGTCCACACGGTGTGGCATGGCAGCAGGGACAGCGTTCCCTTGGCCGAGTTCTGTTGGAAGTCCGTTCCAGGTCCGTGCAAGGGCCCGCCCCGGGAGGCAGGCATCCCCCAGCTGCCATCAGAGCCTGTACCATGAGCAGCATCTTGCTGAAGGCAGACAGCTGGAAAGTCCATGGGGATTATGCGCGGAAGGCAGCATGTGGGCGGGTGAGAAGACGGTGTGCCGTGGTCTTTACTGAGGCAGAGGCACAAACAAGTCACAGCACATGATCAAAAGGTGCCGGATACAGAAATTATCACACCAGTGACTTACTCGGTACGTCCTCTGGGTCATGAGTTGTAAATGCTTTCCACACGCTGAGTCGTGCCCCTCGAGACAGGTGTCATTGCCAGCAGCCCCACTCTGCAGGTGAGCACGGGAGGCACAGGGAGGGGAGCGAGTGGCTGGACGGCAGGGCCCGGCCACCACAGGCAGCACAGCCCCTGACGGCTGTGTGCGGCCTTGTCAGGAAGTATGTGTCCACATATGCAGGCTTCAGGACGTCAGATGGGACATGGGTAGACATCAGGTCACGACATCTCCATTATCTGCCAGGAAGCTTGTACGGTACCTGGGAACGCGTATGATCAGACACTGTGGTGGGGGAGTGGCCCAGCGCCCCGCCGGGTGAGGCAGGGTGGGGCGGCCTGGATTCCACCCGAAGGACCTTGTCGCCCACGTGCCTCCTATAGCTCAGGTTCAGCTCCGTCCCCTCCCGTGTTGGCGTGCAGCCAGCCTCAGCTGTGGGGACAGAGCCCTGGACCTCTCTCTCCAGCTGGACGTTGGAATCGGCCGGGCATCAGCAAGCATTCTGGAGCCTGACTTGTCCTGCTGTGTCCCGCCGGTGGGTGCTGTGGAACCCCCCCCACCCTGCCCCCCGCCCTCGGTCGTGGCCTGGCTGGCCTCAGGAGCCCTGAGCCCTGCCCCTGCCTGCACCATCTGCCTTACGCCCCCCAGTCCCTGCTCAGGAGGGTGATTCGGCAGGTGCTGAGGAGAAACCAAGGAACATGAGACACAAAAATTTTGATAAAGCTGTTTGTCAGCATTTTAGCTGTGAAAGGGAAAATTGGGACTAAACCTCATACCTAACAGAGCAGGTGTGTGGTTAAGGTACGTGTACTTGAAAGGGTGTAAGCAGTCTTGACGTTATGTTTGTGAGGATTCCTTACCCCGAGCAAATGTGTTAAGTGACAAGAGCAGACCCCGAGCTGTAGCGACAGCAGAATCCCATCCACATTATGACAGATGTTATGCGCAGGGAGACGGGGAGCAGAGCAGCAACCCAGGGCGAGAGATGTGGGCCCCTGCGCTGTGGAGCAAAAGGCAGGCTCTCCATTTTAAAAATCAGCAG